AAGGTTTGGCTCGGTGGCTCACACCTGTAATCCCAATACTTTGGGAGGCCAAGGCGGGTGGATCACCTGAGGTTGGGAATTCGAGACCAGCCTACCAACATGGAGAAACCCCATCTCTACTAAAAATACACAATTAGCTGGGCATGGTGGCGCATGGCGCATGCCTGTAATTCTGGCTACTCAGGAGGCTGAGGCAGGAGAATCACTTGAACCCAGGAGGCGGAGTTTGCAGTGAGCTGAGATTGCGCCATTGCACTCCAGCCTGGGCAACAAGAGCACTAACTCTGTCTCAAAAAAAAAACAAAAACAACTTGATTTAAATACAGAATTGGTAAAACTTTGCGAAATGTAAACATCCTGGTGAATTCAGTATTATTAATGCTAAAACTTACAGATGAATGTATAAACAAAAAAACCAGACACAAGTATACACACAAAAATTCTTGCCTTTCATTTACCTGCTGCTGGAGATAGCTGTGAATAGTGATCATAAAAACACTGTTTTTTTAAAAAAGATCATTACTGCTCCCTAGGAAGCATTTATTGGTGGTCTCAATGATTGGTAGTGCTACTAGATATTTTAATTACAAGGGGCCAAGAATACTAACTGTTATGTAATGTGTGACACTGCCAGACACAAAGAATTTTCTCATGTCCCACCTGACTAAACCCAGTATACCAAATATAAATTGTTAGTGCTTTTGTATTTAATCACACTGAACTGTTTTCACAAGTAGTTATGTAAAAAGTCCAGTAATACAGGAAAACATTATGAAAAAAGACAGGTGAAATTATTCTGTGGTGTTAAACACATAAATTAAAATGAACTCTGCATGTTCTTTCTACTCTCTCTCTATATATTTTGAGATAGAGTCTCTGTCACTCAAGCTGACGGCAGTGGCGCAGTCTTGGCTTAATGCAACCTCCACCTCCTGGGTTCAAGCAATTCTCATGCCTCAAAGTAGCTGAAATTACAGGTGTGCATTACTACACCCAGATAATTTTTATATTTTTAGTAGAGATGGGGTTTTGCCATGTTGGCCAGGCTGGTCTTGAACCCCTGGCCTCAAGTGATCCACCCACCTCGGCCTCCCAAAGTGCTGGGATTACAAGCGTGAGCCAACACACCCAGCCTCTACTCAATATTTTATAGAACTTTTTTTTTTTTTTTGAGGTGGAGTCTCCCTCTTTCATCTAGGCTGGAGTGCAGTGGGACAATCTCAGCTCACCAAAACCTCTGCCTCCCAGTTTCAGGCTATTCTCCTGCTTCAGCCTCCTGAATAGCTTGGATTACACATGCCCACTACTACACATTGCTAATTTTTGTATTTTTAGTAGAGATTGGGTTTCACCATGTGGGCCAGGCTGATCTTGAACTCCCAACCTCAAGTGACCCACCCATCTCGGCCTCCCAAAGTGCTGGGATTATAGGTGTTAGCTACTGCGCCCGGCCACATTTCTTTTCTAATAACTTTCTTTTCTTTCTTTCTTTTTTTTTTTTTAAGACACAGGATGTCACTATGTTGCTCATGCTTGAGTGCAATGATTATTCACAGAAGCAATTTTAGTGCATTACAGCCTTGAAATCGTGGGCTCCAGCAATTCTCCTGCCTCAGCCTCCCAAATAACTGGGACTACAGGTAGAAAAGGAAATCAGTATGTGGAATAGACATCTGCACTCCCATGTCTACTGCAACACCATTCATAATAGCTGAGACAGGGAATCAACTTAAGAGTCCATGACCAGGTAAACAGATAAAGAAAATGTGGTGTATAAACAAATTGGAATACTATTCAGCCATTTCGAAGAGCAAAATTCTGTCATTTATGACAACACAGATGAACATGAAGGACATTGTAAGTGACATAAGCCAAGCAGAAAAAGATAAATACTACATGCTCTCACTCATATGTGGAAGCTAAAAAAGCCAATCTCATAGAAGTACAAAGTGGAACAGTGGTAACTATAGAAAGGTAGCAGGAAGGAGGGGAGAGCCAAAGGTTAGTTAACAGATAAAAGTACAGATAGGCAGGAAGAATAAGTTCTAGTGTTCTACAGCACTACAGAATGACTATAATCAACAACAATTTATTGTGTGTGGGGGTATTTTTATTTTTGAGATGAGTTTTGCTCTTGTCGCCAGTATACGATTTCTTTCTTCTTTTCGCTCTCTGATCTCTCCTTTAAGTTGGCCTCCGGGCTAATTCCATTTTTTTTTTCCTTTGAGATGGAGTCTCACTCTGTTGCCCAGGCTGGAGTGCAGTGGCGAGATCTCAGCTCACTTGAACCTCTGCCTCCTGGGTTTTAAGTGATTTTCCTGCCTCAGTCTCCCGAGAAGCTGGAGCTACATGTGTGCATCACCACACCGGCTAATTTTTGTATTTTTAGTAGAGATGGGGTATCACCATGTTGCCCTAGCTGGTCTCAAACTCCTGAGCTCAAGCTATCTACCCACCTCACCCTCCTAAAGTGCTGGGATTATAGGAATGAGCCACTGTACCTGGCCCAGGCTATTTCCTTGTCTCATCCCTACATGCAGATGGTTCTAAGCATCAGCCTTCTACTCCTCTCTCTATTTCATTTCTGCCTAAGACCACACATTCTCACAGCATCCAGTGTCACTGTTCTGATGATTCAACTTCTGTTTCCTCTTAACTCTAACTCATACATTGTTACCTCTATAGCTGGTTCCCTGTAGACTTGGTTGTCTGGCAGTTACCTTAAATTCAGCAGGTTGTAAGCTGCTCAGCATCCTCCCCCAACATCTACAACCATATATACTCTTTTTTATACTTTCTAACTTCTCCATTGCTCCATGTTCCATAACATGACAATTATCTCTGATACTCCTCTCTTATACTTCATTTTCCATCAAGCTCTTTACCTGTTTCTACCTTTGTAACTTTCTCTAGCATCTGTCCCCTTCTTTTCTATTTCTATTTCCATCTCTTGATATCAGGTTCACATCATTGCTGCAATGATTTCTTCCAATCTCTAGGCTTTCACCATCTTTTAATCCACACTATATTTTTCTGTCAAATCTTCCTAAAGGCAGCTTGAGCAAGGTTTCCTCTCTTCAGAAAGTTCCACAGCTTCCAATACCCTCACGATAATATCCAAATTCTTTTGGATATTTTAAAGACCTTTCTGTATTCAAAATTACCTCCTTAGTTCTCCTAATTTTGACTCTGCTTCACTTGAAGCAGGCTTAGGTATCATAACTTCTCTGTGTATCGTCCTATGGTATTTGGAATAATGTTGGTATTAAGGAAATACCTGAATTCACTTACGTAATTTATTGTTTAGTAACAAAGTAAATATTGCTGTCATCACTCATCTCAATATACATTTTAAGCAGCAGATTACTATGTAACAGACACTTTCCCAGGGGCAAGAAATAAAAAGATGAAGAAGATATGAATCTATATCTCAAAGAGCTCGCAGTCTCCCAGGGAAGAGTGGTTTTAAACCCAATAGGGAAAGTATAATCCACTATTGTCTGCAATGATCTTCTCACATCATTAAATAATACAACCAATAGTGATTTTTTACTCACAAAAGATACATGTTTGGCAATGACTTAATGAATAGATTTACATACAGAAGACTGCTATTCTAATGAGCTAGCTTGAAGGTAAAAAATTTCTACAGAGGTAAGGACTAAAAATTATTTAAAAGGTTATACAAATCCACGCTAACTAAGAATAGTTAAGAAAATGGCTATTCTTGTCTTTGTTGTCTCCGATAGGCTGTATACACATTTATGTAAAGCAGCATGATAAACAATTTTCTGTATGGGAAAAGTGATCCTATATACATACCCATGAGATCAGCAAATCCTCCTACTGGCAACCGGCAGGTTCCAGTAACAAACTGTAGAAGTCTCATTCTCTTCTCATTATCAATTTCTTTAACAAACTGTTAAAAGTATATTTAAAAATATATATATGTCATACGTTACATTTGGCACACTAAACAAGAAAGAAAAATAATCATTTCAAATCTTTTATATATTGTTTTAGAAGTGGGGTCTTGCTCTGTGGCAGTGGTGCAATCACAGCTCTCTGCAGCCTCTAATTCCTGGGCGGCAGGCAATCCTCCCCCTCAGCCTCCAGAGTAGCTTCACCTATAGGTGCAAGCCACTGTGTCTAGTTCATTTCAAATCTTAAAGGAATCCCTGGTGTCCACTGCATTAGATACTTAACCCAGCACTATGGATAGAGGGCCATTTCCATGTTTATCAAAGCCCCACCAGCCTTTCCTTATATAAATCGTAGGACAATGTACTTACAGGGAGATATAAAAAGAAGGATGGCCTGAGACCAAGAGCTCCTTACTCATGCAGATTTAAGATTAATTCTTCTAGGGAAGCCCTTCCCCCCTCACCTCCCAACCCCAGATCTGCCCGTTTTATAGGATATTCATGTGGCTACATAGGATATAGACCTTGAGTCAGTATAGACTTTGCTGTTTTATGAACTCCTTTAATCAAACTCACAGAATTCTGATGCAGAATATATCCCAATAATCTCCTCTTCTCAATGTTCTTTAGGTTTTGGTATAGCCACACATAGCTAGAATTATGTGGTTTTTATCTCATACAATTCTGACTCAAAATGATAGGTTTCTAGACAATGTATCTAGTCTGTAGTATAACTATGTTGGCTCTGTCAAAAATTTTTTTGTAAGGAATGATTTCAATCCTATTTTACTATTATCCTACAATTATCCTATAATGTTAACCCTACTTGTTGCAGAAGCTCAGTTTAAGTTTCTCATATGAATTTCTTTACATGTATAGATTTTTTTAATTTAATTTTTTAAATTATAAAATATACTTAACATAGATTCACCATTTTAACCATTTTGAGTGTAATTCAGTGACACTAAGTACATTCACACTGTTGTGCAACCATCACCACTATTTCCAATTTTTTCATCATCCCAAGTAAAAACTATGTATGCATTAAACACTACTTCCCATTTTTGCTCCTTGCAGCTTCTGGTAACCCATATTCTACTTTCTGCCTCTATGAAGTTGCCCATTCTAGCAACCTCACGTAAGTAGAATCATACAGTATTTGTCCATTTGTGTCTGGCTTACTTCTCTTATCTTAAAATTCATAATGTTTTAAAGGTTTATTCATGTTGTAGCACATACTAAAAATCTCATTCCTTTTTAGGGCTGAGTAATATTCTAACAGACAGTCCCTGGCTTACAATTTTTTGACTTTATGATGGGTTTATTACTCCATTATAAGCTGAGGAGCACCTGGACTTACAATGGTTAGATTTATGATTTTTCAACTTTACAATGGGTTTTTATCAGGGTATTAAATGCATTTTCAACTCAGGATATTTTTTACTTATGTGAAGGATAAAACTCCTTTACAAGTCCAGGAGCAACTCTATATGTATATACCACATTTTGTGTGGGTAAATGGATGAATACTGGGGTACAGGTATCTGTTTGAGTCTCTGCTTTCAGTTTTTTGGGGGGTATACCAAGGATTGGAGTTCCTGGGTCTTATGTTAATTCTATGTTTAACTTTTTGAGGACCCACCAAACTATTTCCACAGTGGTATGGTATGTCACACTATCACCGACAGTGCATCCTTGGCAATGGTTGTTCTTCTCCACTTTAAGAGTAATACCAAGAAGTATGATGTGGTATCTCATTGTGGTTCTGATTTGCATTTCTCTAAATACTAATGATGCTGAACATCATTCACTATGCTTAAGGCAGACATTTTTAGAGAGATACCATTATGATTCTAAACCAGGTCTCTTAAATTTTGCTTTCTGAACATTACATAATAATTAATGAAGTATAAGTGATAAAAACCATGCTATAGACAGTCCTATAAAACTCCAAAATCAAAAAGAAAAAAAAAACCCAAAATCATTTACATCAAATGTAGGTAAACTTTATCATCTGGGAATTGTCTTACACTCTACTCTGGACAAAGATGCAAAGTATGTGTGGCTTACTTGGCTATAGTCTTAAAAGGATGCTATTATAATCTGTATCCATTTATTATAATGCACAGGATGGACTGAAGGGTCTATATACACTGGTACATTTTGACTTGTGACTCATTTCCATATGTGGTAAGCCAAGTCTAAAAAATTATGCTGTGTCAACTAATAAAAATAAATTTAAAAGCACACCTGCCAAAACCACATGATTTGTTTGCTGGTCCTCGTATAATGACGGTAGATGGCATGTCTTTGCCAGTCATTCAAATCAATCTCTTGCATTCCACATAAAAGGACCTTTTGGGATGAAAAAGACAAATTGTTTTCTTAGGTAATCGTACAAACACAGCTAGACATAGATAAGAAAAGACTAAGATTAAGTAAACCTTTAGAAAAACAATCAGTAGGCTTTGACTTATCATGTATACATCAAGAATTATATCTACATTACTCAGAAAGGCAAGGTTCCAAGCACGATGTCATATATATACAAATTCAGGGAAGTCAGTCAGTTGTAGAGAAGCCCTAATATTTGTACTTTTTGGGGGGTAACACTATTGTTTTATCTTTGAATAAATTATAATTTTCTTGTAATTTTTGAGACACTGCGGATGTCTCAAAACATTTTGCCAGTATAAAAAATATTACAGTAACTGGAATGATGAGAAAGTGAGTTTAAAGCAGAAAACTGAAGGCATTATTTACTAGCATGGTACAGGAGAATGAAGGAAAACTCATTACCTCTAATTCCTTTGCATCGAAGTATTGCAAATATTGCTGGGGAAGAATTTCATTAAAGCCCTCAAAGAAAGCTTGTGTCTGTTCTTCAACACCTCGAGACAACCTCCATTCAGCTACCATTCTAGCAAACAAATATAAAAATCATATCAGGAAGTTTAGATCTTACTTTTAAATTCTGAGTATAAAAATAAATTTTAAAAAATTATCAAGCACTTAAAATATATTCAAAAGTAGGCCGGGCGTGGTGGCTCACGCCTGTAATCCCAGCACTTTGGGAGGCCGAGGCGGGTGGATCACGAGGTCAAGAGATCGAGACCATCCTGGTCAACATGGTGAAACCCCGTCTCTACTAAAAGTACAAAAAATTATCTGGACATGGTGGCGCGTGCCTGTAATCCCAGCTACTCAGGGCTGAGGCAGGAGAATTGACTGAACCCAGGAGGCGGAGGTTGTGGTGAGCCAAGATCGCGCCATTGCACTCCAGCCTGGGTAACGAGAGCGAAACTCCGTCTCAAAAAAAAAAAAATATATATACATATATATATATATATATATATATATATATATACACACACACACACACACACACACACACATACATATATATATATATATATATATTCAGAAGTAGAATATAATGAACCCCCTGTACACATATCCAAGCTTCATCACAATGCCCATCTATTTCTTCTATGCCCCTACTCATGCCCTAGATATCATATAATTTCATTTCATTTTTATTTATTTATTTTTTTGAGACGGAGTTTCGCTGTTGTTACCCAGGCTGGAGTGCAATGGCACGATCTCGGCTCACCGCAATCTCCGCCTCCTGGGTTCAAGCAATTCTCCTGCCTCAGCCTTCCGAGTAGCTGGGACTACAGGGGCGCACCACCATGCCCAGCTAATTTTTGTATTTTTAGTAGAGATGGGGTTTCACCTTGTTGACCAGGATGGTCTCGATCTCTTGACCTTGTGATCCACCTGCCTCGGCCTCCCAAAGTGCTGGGATTATAGGCGTGAGCCACCGCACCAGGCCCCCCCCACCTTTTTTTTTTTTTTTTTTTTTTGAGATGAGGTCTCACTCGAGCTGAAGAACAGTGGCACAATCTTGGCTCACTGCAGTCTCAACTTCCTGGGGTCAAGTAATCCTCCTGCCTCATCCTCCGGAGCAGTTGGGAATATAGGTGTGTAATACCATGCCTGGCTAATTTTTGTTTTTGTTAGTAGAGATGGCATCTCTCTGTGTTGCCCAGGCTGGTTTTAAAGACCTGGACTTAAGTGATCTTCTTGGTGCAGCCTCCCAAAGTGCTGCGATTACAAGCATGTGACACCATATCCAAGCCATATAATTTATTTTTCTTTTGTTTTGTTTTTGTTTTTTGGACAGGGTCTCACTCTGTTGCCTAGGCTGGAGTGCGGTGACACAATCTGGGCTCACTGCAGCCTCTGCCAAACAGGTCTAAGTGGTTCTTCTGCATCAGCCTCCCGAATAGCTGGCATTACAGGTGTGCACCACCATGCCTCGCTAATTTTTGTATTTTTATAAAAGATGGGTTTCACCATGTTGGCCAGACAGGTCTTGAACTCCTGACCTCAAGTGATCCATGTGCCTTCTACCAAAGTGCTCAGATTACAGGTGTGAGCCACTGTGACCGGCCTGTGTAATTTCATTTTGAAAAAGTATTTCAGTATATGTCTCTACAACGTGAGGATTTTTTTTAAAGAACATAATTATAAAAACATGACTGCATCACTGTTTTATCAACCTAGAATTCTAAATCTAGTGACAATACCCTTTAGAAAACGAAGGTGAAATAAAGATGTTTTCATATAAAAGCTGAGAAAATGTATTGCCAGGAGAAGCATACTAAGCCAAAGGGAAATGATCTTAGATTTAAAAAAATGAATCTGAGGAAGTAAGGAGAACTAGAAATAGTAATGTGAGTAAATATAAGATTATTTTTAGGGGCCAGGCGCGGTGGCTCACGCCTGTAATCCTGGCACTTTGGGAGGCTGAGGCAGGTGGATCACGAGGTCAAGAGATCGAGACCATCCTGGTCAACATGGTGAAACCCCGTCTCTACTAAAAACACACAAAAAAATTAGCTGGGCATGGTGGCGCGTGCCTGTAATCCCAGCTACTCAGGAGGCTGAGGCAGGAGAATTGCCTGAACCCAGGTGGCGGAGGTTGTGGTGAGCCAAGATTGTGCCACTGCACTCCAGCCTGGTAACAAGAGTGAAACTCTGTCCCAAAAAGAAAAAAAGATTATTTTTGAAAATAGTTAAAAATTAAAGAATAGCAGTAATAAAGTATTATATTTATAACAGGTAGAAATAATACACGACAACAACAGCACAAACAGCTGGAATGAGGAAAAATGGAATTATATTATGAGCTTCTTATATTGTCTAAGTACTGTTTTGGGTCAATAGGGATGTTAGATGAATATTAATCATAATCATTAGAGTCTCCACTACAGTCAAACAAAGAGGTATAGAAAAGATAAAAAAGAAAAGTAAAAATTACCTTATTAATTCAAAGAAGGCAAGGAAGAACAAAGAAAGTTGGGAAAAACAAAAAGCAAGGCAAAATAGCAAAACAAATAGCAATGATTAGACCAAAGTCCAACCAAATCAGTAATAAAATTAAACATAAATATACTGAACACTTCAATTATAAAGTAGAGATTATCAGACAGAATAAAAATAGTTAAGACCTAAGAAACACTTTTAAATACAATGACAGTGGCTGGGTGTGGTGGCTGACATCTATAATCCCAGCACTTTGGGAGGCTGAGGCGGCGGATCCCTTGAGCACAGGAGTTCAGTACTAGCCTGAGCAACATGGTGAAACCCTATCTTGTCATGTGGGTGTGGCAGCATATGCCCATATAGTACCGGCTGCTTGGGGGCTGAGGCCAGAGGATTGCTTGAACTTCCAGAAGTGGAGGCTGCAGTGAGCCAAGATTTTGATACTGCACTCCAGCCTGGGTGACAAAGTAAGACCCTGTCTCAAAAAAATAAAAATAGAAAATAAAAAATAAATAAACGCCTGTAATCCCAGCACTTTGGGAGGCTGAGGCGGGTGGATCACGAGGTCAAGAGATCGAGACCATCCTGGTCAACATGGTGAAACCCTGTCTCTCCTAAAAATACAAAAAATTAACTGGGCATGGTGGCACGTGCCTGTAATCCCAGCTACTCCTGAGGCTGAGGCAGGAGAACTGCCTGAACCCAGGAGGCGGAGGGTGCAGTGAGCCAAGATCGCGCCATTGCACTCCAGCCTGGGTAACAAGAGCGAAACCCTGTCTCAAAAAAAAAATAAATAAATAGAAAATA